GGTCAGAGCACCCACGCGGCCCCCTCACCTGTCTCCTCCGGGAAGCGCTGGTTGAATGAATGACCCTGTGGGAAGCCAGCTTTCAGGCTGGGGTTTACCGAGCTCCTCATACCCACCCCACCCGGCCACACCCACCCCGAGTTTTAGGGCGGCCCATTGGCACCTGCTAGTTTTTCCAGGGGGAATGTGTGTAGTGCCTGTGGGGGGCCCGGAGCAGGTGGAGCCATCACCCAGCTTCTCTGCCCAGCGGTGAATCGTGGGAAATAAGCTAATACCCCAGACAAGGGCGGAGGCGCCGCAGGGCAGCGACGGGGCCCCCAGGCGGTGCCCTGGACTGGGGGCGCCTCTTATCACAGCAGCGCCCGGCACAGGGTCCCGTGCTCTGGAGAATCCTCACCCCCAGCTCTGACGTCTGACACGCTCACGTGGGTCCAGGCCCTGTTCGTGAGCATCTGAGCTTAGACCTCAGCTCCATGTCCCGTGGAAACGCCAAGCAGTCCTTCTGGACTGTTTGCCCGCTGCTCCCCAGGGTGCTTGGAGGGTCGGCGCCAGCTCCAGGCACACTGTCCTGGTTTAGTAACAAAGCTGGGGAAACACGCCGCTCGTCCTGCCTCAGGTGAGGCGAGTAGGTTTTAGGAAAGAGAGACCTGTGGTCGCAGCTCAGAAACTACTCACCGGCCTTCGGTGAGCTTACAACAGGTCGGAGAGAACTGAAAGTAGAATGTCCGACTGGACGTGAGGGCGAGAGAGACCGGGACCCGGGGACCGTGGCTGCTACCCCTTCCCGGGTCCTGGAAGCAGGAAGGCCCGTCGCCTGGTTTCTCTGCCCGCGGACACGTGAGGGTGCCTTGCCTGCCCAGTGCCTGGGTCCCTCGCAGGTTAGCCGCTGCCACGACTTCAGCGCAGTGACGCGGTGCTGATGTGTCTCCTGTTGAATGAGGACTTTGCCGTCAACGGGGTGTGTGAGTGACACTCGGGACGCACATCTCCCCACAATGCGTGAGTGCGGGGGGCCCCGGTGACGTAGTTATGGTGGCCTGGTCTTCCTGTCTCTACCGTGGACGCAGGGCCACCCTCTGTGGCCGTCCTGAAACCAGCCGAGTGACCGCCGGTCTCCGGGCAGCTGAATTCCGATGTGACTCCCCGAGTGGGTGTCCAGAGCCCATGTGGAAGGTCCGAAGTCTCCTTGCAGCAGCTTCCAGTTAGCACGACGTTCCGGCAGCCAATAAACTACTCTCGAGTCGTTTAAAAAATGTTTATCTTGATAAGAAAGTAACCGTTAAAAAATTATGTCCATTGTAAGAAAAATAGATTCTTGCATCATAGGCAGCTTTTTAACTGTAAAACCAACATCAGATGTCAGCATATGATTTACGTTGGTTAAACTTAAATACCTTTCTTTAAAATTATACCCCAGCATATCAAAGGGCCACGGAAAAGCAGTGGGCGCAGGTTCAGTGGGACGGTGAGTGATTTTTATTGTAATAGTACTGGGAGGTGGAAACGGCAGCCTGGGTTCACATGGAACCCGAATCGGACTGTCACTCGAACGGCAGAGCCCACGCCCGGCGCCGTGTCTCCGTGTCCCCTCCCGTGTCGTACTTTCTGCTCTTGAACGTGAAACTCTGGGCGCCGAAGGGCGGTGTCCCCGGGATCAGCACAGTCACCCGCTCGACCTGAGTGTCGCCGAGCGCCCGGCTTGTTTTCAGGTTGGCAGTAAAATGGGGAGTGGGGAGGAATCCCTGGGGCACCAGCAGGGTGAACGTGGCAGGTTAGGTACCACTGAGGTGGCAGCGACAGTCTCAGGCTCCCCCGCGTGTCTGTCAGCTTAACGCCCGTGGGCCCCTTTATCGGTGACCACCCTGGGGTCCACGCTTCCTTTCGTTTTCAGCGGGAGCTTCCGGGGCGCGACCACCTGTGTGTGTCACCTCCCAAGTGCCTACGTGAGAGACTGTTTGCAGTTGCCTGGAAGCCAACCTCACGGGCAGCTAGGACCCTTACTGGTGTGTGTGTGAGTGGGTCTGGCCTGTGTTGCAAAATATGACACATTTTGTGATTACTTAAATCTAACATTGTTTTCAAATTAGCTATTAATGTGCTACCAGGATCAATTCTATGCACTTTGGTTTTTGTTTTTTAAGTATATCTTTATTGACCTCAGAGAAAGGGAGGGAGAGGGAGAGAGAGAGAGAAACATCAATGCTGAGAGAGTCGTCATTGATCGGCTGCCTCCTGCACGCCCCTGATTGGGGATTGAACCCCGATCTCCTCGATCCTAGGTCGACGCTCAACCGCTGAGCTACGCCCGGCCGGGCTCTGTGCACTTTTGAGTGGACCATTCGGAGGAAATGTTGTCAGGAATATGCACTGATTGTATTTGTCTTTTTCTTTATTTAAACATTAATGCATTTCCTGCCACCAGACGTCTTTCAGGTGCTCACAGTACTCACAGTGCTGTCCTTTGCATGTGGGGTTATAAAACGTGGCAAGTGTACAACTTCCCCCCTGTACCAGGTTGTGGATGTCGCCCGCCATCCCCTCTTGGTGGGAGACGTTATTGATCAGAATCCAGATCGCTCTTAAGCACGGGCTCCCCATTTCTGTATCCCATGGTGCGGTTTGAAGCCTCGCTTTATGGGAGAAGGAGGCCTCCCTGGTTTTAAACTCCCTGGAGCAGCCACCTCCTCTTGGGAGCTGTGGACTTGAGCATCGGGCCCCCGTCCCTCCTGCCAACTCCTCTCTCCCCCGGCTGGGCACCCGCTGGCCGGGCTGGGGCGGGCAGGTCCTCCTTCCTGGGGCCAGGTTCCGTCCTGGTGCTGGTGGCCACACAAGCAGTTTCAGATTCTCTTGGAAGTTGTCTTCAGTGTCCTAAAGAAAGGAAACTGAAAGGATGGAGTTTACATTTTCCATAAGGGAGAATCCTCTTAACATGATTTGTAAGAACCTGTCCTAACAACCACTTCCCCAGGTCTCAGAAATACATGCTAGATATTTAAGGAGAGAGAAGATTAGTTAAATTATATTTTTTTTCTGTGTGTGTTTGATGAAAATAATTGTCTCGAGTAACAGAGCGCACACGGTCCTGCAGGTTGTCGCCAAGTTAGTAAGTTAGCGCGGCAATGAGGCGCGAGGTGCTCTCCTGGCGACCCTGGTTGACCTGCGTCGTTCTTGGCGTCTGCGGTGTGTTTGGCCTGCGCCGTAGCACCTGCAGCTCTTCTAGGACCCGTCAGACCCTGAGCTGCGAAGTGTGCGGACGGGATGGCCGGCGCGCCATCCACCCTAGAGGGACACTCCCGGGTGGTCGGCGTGTCTTCGCGTTCTGACCGCAGCTGTGGGCGGGCTTCGAGGACGTCCCAGGCCGCGGTTCAGAGCCGTTCCCCCGACGGCCCCCCACTTTATCACGCTCAGCGTTTTGGGATGAGGAAGGTTCTGACATAATGAATAACGTATTTATCTTCTCTGTCCCCCGTAAGGTCAAAAAATATTTCGAGCTTGAGCCCCTGGCCCGCGGAAAGCGCTGGATTCTGCATCCCTGCTCGCTGCACGACACGGACGCCCTGAAGGACAGCTTCGCGCAGCTGATCAACCTGTTGGAGGAGAGGGACCAGGACGCTGCAAGGCTGTGACACCGCCGAGGGCCTCAGCCTCCCGGGTGGCTGCCGTCGGGCGTGAGACGTGCCCCTCTCCTCTCGCTGGTCCTCTGGGACGCATCCCTCCGCTTCCGTGAAGCCTGCACGTCGGCGGAGCCCCGTCGGCACAGCGTCGAGCAAACACTACTGAGAGAACGTGTCCTCCGTTTACCACGGTCTCCGCCGCTCTCGCTGCCTTCCCTGCCGGGCCCCCCGTGCCCTGTGCTGGGGGACGAGCTTGGGGCTCGCGGGGATCGGTCCCCGACGAAGGGCTCGGAGATGCGGAGCCTCGCCTCCGTTTCCCGGGGCTCGGGGCACAGCGTTGTGTGACTGGGCCCCCCCACAACGTGTATCATTTTCAGCATCTCTTGGGGGTTTCATTTTATTTTATCTCATTTTATTTTTTAGTTTTTTGTGTACTGGCTTTATAGATTATGGGAGACAAAAGATGAGCACCAAAAATTTTAATTACCGTATCAGAAAGGAATATCCTGCCATAGAAAATTAACTTCGAAGGATTTAAGGGCGAGATGCGCAATGTTTCCTTCGTTACATCTGAAGCCTCCCCCCCGCCCCCTTTTGAGAGCAGAGACATGGTCTTAGCTTCTGAAAGGAGCCCGAGGGCTTTCAGGCAGAGTCTCACATCTCGGGGGACGGTTCAGCCAGTCCTCAGCTTTCTTTTTAATGGGAAGATCATCCTGCACAAAGTCAAGCTGCAGCGTCATATAGGTATCTTTTTCTAAAACTCTTGTGTTTGATTAAAATAGAAAAAAATAATTTTTAAAATAATAGATAACATTTTTAAAAACTGCCCAGTGAAGTCTAGTTTATGCCAGCGGAGGCTGCAGCTGGCGTGGATTTGGCAGAGAATCGTCTGTGAGCTCATTCATTACGTGCCAACGTGGTTCCACCGGGCCTGTCGGTGTCTCCGTCCAGTAACGAAGAGGTCCGTCAGTATTTCTATGGTCAACCTCTATTTTCAGGGGTTTTGATGTGCCCTTAAAAATATGCTGGGGCTGCAGCAAATACATAGTTTTAGGACCCAGATTCAGTCTTTGGAACGGATGTTTTGTGTCATTTAATTTAAATGATAAAATTATGTAAAGATTAATGTACAGTTTTACTGAAGTTTGGCACCTTTGACCTTTCCTAAATCGGGGATAATCTAGGGATATTGAGGTTTATGGTCGAAATACTCTTTGGCACATTTTGTAGATTTTTGTCCACTTAAAATTCCAAGTGGCCCAACGACCTAAACTGCTCCCTCCACCTGAGCAATAAAAACGTGTTTGTGATTTTGGGGCGGCATCGCTGACTCCAAACCCCGCAGCCCCCAGTCCCGCGGGGCCGTGGGATGCCTGTCACTCTCGGGAAGGTGTGTCATTAACACTACAGCCTCTGTGGTTTAATCTTGGGGTTTTTAATGAAATCGTTACCTTTGAGACATCAATCGCCTCCTTAAGCTTTTTTCTTAATTGGCTGGATCGGGAAGATTCACGTTCGCCTTCGTGTACATTTTTCCACCGTGTGGCCGGGAGCGGCACAAACTTCTCGCTCCCGTGACCAGCTCGGCAGCCCCGGCCGCTCCCCTCCTGTGGCGAGTAACCGGCGATGGGCCTCGCCTCCTCCGGAGGTTCATTAAATGCAGCGTGGTCCTTGTCAGCCGGCGGCGGGCGGCCGGGCCATCTGTTAAATGACTCGCCTGCCTGCGTGAGCTCGCGTGGCGCGATGGGCCGCCAGCCCCGCTGTCTGCGCCCGCCGGCGGGGAGACGGTATCAGTCAGGGCCCGGCAGCAGCTGTTTCTGACAAGTGTCTGTCTGACGCCTAATGCTCGGCAACTGTCAATAAGGCCCGTCTCCGTCTAGCAGCATCCTGTCCTGGTAACCCTAGAATGTGCCACGTTTCGGAAATCCACACGGGGCGGGCCGGGCCGGCGTGGGCGCTGGGTGTGCGGGTGCCCTGGTCCTGCTGTCACCCCACCTGCCACAGGCGTCTCCGTGTGCGTGTCTGAGTGTTACGCAGGAGACCGCCCGCGGTGTGTCCCTTCACTTTGCTTCTCATGTTTATGGAAGTGACCCGTTTTTGTACCTTCTTAGCTGAAGCAGTTGCCTTTTTGTAACGGCAATTAATTTATACGGGACTTTGTACCTACTGTAGCTGACAGTATCGGTTGCTAATGAACTGCCACTCCCCCGTCTGTGAAAAGTGCTGAGTCTGTGCCCAGAGGTCACAGACGCCTCGGACAGCTGCCAGGCCAGGCCTCGCGCGTCCGTGTTTATATACGACCCCCCCCGCCCCGTCTTCACATAAAAATAAACGCTGGGTAGAGCTCATGTTTTCAGACTCACTCCTTTCGGCTCGAGCGTTTCCCGGGTTCCTGTTTACATTCGAGGGGCCTGGTTAAGTCTTCAGAATTGGTTCTGCTGCTCCTGGGTCACAACAAAGGATGGATTCGAATTTCCTTTGAAGCCCCTGTGAAATCCTTAAAAGACAAAAACACACGTGTCTTCCTGCGGGTGTGTCCTGGGCAGCAGCTCACCTCCACCGAGGGTCCTCCGGGGTGAGAGTGGAGACGCGGGTGCCAGGTGTCGCCCTTCAGGCAGAGCCTTGCCCTGTAGCATCTGCCACCGAGCAGCTGGGAGCCACCTCTGGTGCCCTTAGGAAGTCAGTAAATATTTTTAAGTGACTCGAGGAAATACTGTGTCTTTGCAGGTCCACCCTGAACGATTCTGTAAGACAGAGAGAAAAATAAACCGATAGATGGGCAGAAGGGAGAGAAAGAAAAGGGTGAGATGGTGCATTGTGGACATTGAGAAATTCAAGTCCCAGCTCCGTGGGTCCCCAGTGCAGCCCGATCGCCGCACTGCGTGTGGCCACCCGGAAACTAAGGCAGTCAGTCCTGGGCGGGACCCGCCACGGCCCTGCTGAGCGTCCCAGGTGGGTGGTTCCTGAGCATCTGGGATCCCCCAGCACATCGGGCAGAGCTGTAGGGTTATCTTAATGTCCAGACAGGACGTTCATGCACACTCACCGGGTTTATAGTTTCGGGGTGCATCTTCCTTAACCTCCTGACCTAATGATGCCGACAGAAAGGAAGAGGGGTGTGGAGGGGGCGGGG